GTTACAAAGGCATGGACTTTACGAAAAGAAACAGCAGACACGTAAACAGCGCAAAGAAAGGAAAAATAGGATGAAGAAAGTTAGAGGTACAAAGAAAGCTAAAGTAGGAGCTGCATCAAAGAAGGTAAACAAAAAAGTTATTACTTATTACTAAATATGCAAAAAAAATTGAAGGCAAGAGATAACATATTTTAAAGTAGCTATTTATGTTTTTCAGGGGAGAAAATAAGTTGATTTTCCACAGTTTAGGTATTTTAGTTTGTCCCCTTTCATGATACAGTTTTACAGATTTAATATAAAAAAAACTTTCTTTCCTTATTAATAATTTAACAATTTATTATTTATGATGATTTCCAGTTAATTATTTTTACCTTCATACCTAACTAAATTGCATCATGAGTGTCCCCCTATATTGATGATTATTCATAATTAAAAAGAGTCTAACATGTTCCTTTTTTTTCAGTAATTTGGTGCCGGACATTGAACTTCACCATTAAAGTAAGTTGTTTTATAATTTCAACACAAATGTGTATTTAATAAAATACTTCCTACATTATTAGAAGTTTCTTTCTGTACTTTTAAGGCAACTACATTACTTTAATAATATCGTTTTTTAAAACAGAAGTACTTATAAAAATTACTTTATTATTTAGGAAATTAAAAGTTCTAACTGGTGATTTAAAATTTTTCCTTTTCTTGAGGACAACAAACAAAAAAAAATATTTTACATGGGTATATATTTAATTTAATGATAAACCATTTAAAAAGGAATATAAAACACTTACTGACTGATTAATCTTTTCTTAATTCAAAAGTGTCTTCTTTAATTCCATCCTTAGTAATGATGTTAATGTTGACTTTATCACCAGTGTAGATGTCTCTTTCTGCGGCAGAAATGAACACATCCTTTAGCAAAGCCAAAGCTTTTTCTAATGTTAGAGGTGCTGGTGTAACATTCTGCATATTTTTAAGACCAATTTGATTATCCAAAAGCGGCTGAAGTAAAGCTCCAGCAGATCCTCCAGCTTTGTATGTGGCTTTTTCACAATGACCAATAGGGTCATAACTGTAGACACACCCTTTCCCATCAGTATCCAGTCCTGCTAAGATATTAGACACATAATACGGAAAAAATCTTTTATAATACAGCATGGTTGATAACATCTGTGCCACTGCTGGTGTTGCCATAACTTTGTTATGTTCTTGTTCGTACATTTGCATTCTTGCACTTAATATACGAGTGAGAGTTAGGGCGTCGCACCAACAACCTGAACAACCAAGAACGGTGGACTTGGATAATGAAAACAATTTATTCTGATCTCGGGTATAAATTGCAAAACCAGTACTTAGACGAGAATCTGCACCTATGATGACGAAATCATCCCCAGCAATAGCTACCACGCTCCTAAATTTAAGTATTTTTAAAATGTCTTGCAAAAATGCAAATTAGGTTATACTAAACATACCCTCCGTTATCAGCGTAGGGACTAAATTGAAACTGTTTTGGGGTTTCCGTTGCATAGTCTGGATAATAACTGTTTACTTCTGCAGTCATTTTGCAGTACTTTCTGTTGTTCAAATGATAGTAACAAATACTCTTAATTATTCTTAACTGGAAATTCGAATATCACAATGACACTTCAAAAATTACAATTTTCTCATCAGTTATAAAGCCGAAAGATCGAAAATTCCAATAAACAGTAAACGTTTATGTTGGTCATACTCATAGACATACAGTAAACGTCGATGGTCATACTTATCGTTATCTATGGTTATCACTCTCATCTATGATTCTCATTTATGTCATGATCTGTTATATCTTAATCTATTAATTAATTGTCAGTAATCTATGATTGTCATTGTTATTGTTGTGTGATGTGATGTGTTATCTACTGATAGTGTAAAAAATATATAAATAACTTTAATAAATATATTAATTACCACTTGTTAAAAATACATTTTTTTTTAAAGTCAAGAATGGGTAGTGAAAAGAAAGGTTGGGACTATAGTCAATTAAGAAAATATGATATTTCATTAGAACAAATACCAAGATTAGATTATCAAGATCCTAAAGTTGACGAATTAATGGCTGAGAATGTAAGTTTACATTGGAATAATATTAGATACATCCCAATTATTTTATAGCTTCATACGTTATCCCTTGAATTAAATTTAACATATTTTTGAAAACATAACCTAAAAAAAGCTTTTTATAAATAAAAGCCAAAATCTTTTGTTTCCCTGGCGATGCAGACCTGTTAATGTATGTATAATATTATTATTAAAGTGATTTACTTAATAAGCTCATATTACAAGTTACTTGGCAACCGTTTTATTGTTTGGCAGTAGTTTATTTGAATGGCTTTATTATATAGGTACACTACATTTTACTGTACAAGTTTTACAAATATATTTATGTATGATGCAGAAGGAAACTCCTAAGAAATACACTCAACACACACATAGGGATATTTTTGAAAGAAAACGGGCAATATTACTTTTAGTTGCATCTTTCTTGCGAGAGCAAAGTCTAACCAACACATTAAAATGTCTAGAAACAGAAGCTGACCCTATCATTTCTGGATATGAACTCTGTGACAACGTCGACTTGGATTCAATTCTACAAGAATTTATGAGTTTTCAATACACAAAATTCAACAAAGTTCCAAAAATTATCAAACAACTTGAACAAGTACAGGCAAAAACAAAGAAATATCGTTCACAAAATAGTGTAGAAACTAAACAATCTAAAGTGAATGTAACTCAATGTGAACAGGAAACAAAGTCTGATAATAAACAGTTTGATTTTCAAATTAAAAGAATGCTATCAACAGATTCAGATCCAGAAGTTAAGAAAGAGTACAATAGGGTGCAAACATCCGCATTCTGTTTAACATATTCCAAAGAATGGCAAGAACTTGCAGATGCTGTTAAGAAAGAAATAATCGACGACTATTCGGGAACCTCATGGAAGGACTGCATTGGACTGGAGAAACCACAACAGTTATTAAAAGAGTCGGTTATTTATCCAGTAATGTATCCTCACTTATTTACTGGGTTAACAAGACCTTGGAAAGGAATATTATTATATGGTCCACCAGGGACAGGGAAAACACACTTAGCAAAAGCTGTAGCCTGTGAAAGCAATACGACTTTCATAAATTTGACCAGCAGTACCTTTGTAAGCAAATGGAGAGGTGAATCTGAAAAAATGATCAAAGTTCTATTTGATTTAGCAAGGCTGGAGGCTCCCACAACTATATTTATCGATGAAATCGACGCAGTCTTTTGTCAAGGCAATGGTTCAAATCAGGACGCCTCCAGAAGGTTCAGATGCGAACTTCTGATTCAAATGGATGGGTTATTACAAGGAAATGAATCTATTTTCGTATTAGCGAGCACTAACAAGCCTTGGGACTTAGATGCAGCTCTGTTGAGACGTTTTGAAAAGCGGATACTTATAAATTTACCAAACCAAGAAAACCGATATGAGCTATTTAAATATTTTCTAAAAAATTGTGCTCATTCTATTGATGAAGAGGTACTGAAAAAGGCTGCGGAAATGACTGGTTCATTTTCAGGCTCAGATTTGAAATTAGTATGCAAAGAAGCTTGCATGAAAAGCATTAGATCTGCCCTAAAAAAAATTGAAATTTCAGAAACATTTTCAAAGAAAACAGAAGTTTCCGGTCCTTCAATAGAAGATATTTTTAATGCTATACAAACAACTAATCCTCTAACTGATAAACAACTTCTTAATAAATATTTAGAATGGAATAAAAGATTTGGTAGCTGCTAAAAATTAAAATATACTTATTTTACGCGTTTTATGTTTTTATTTTATGTCTATATAAGTAATAATTTAATTGCAACTTCCAGCAAGGTTTCATAAACATTGTCAAAAGTATCTTGGACTTGTTTTTAATTTTTAGGAACCGGTGGTTATTACTGGTTCTAAACTGGTAAAGTCTGCCGAAAAATGGAACCTCGATTATTTAGAAAAGCACATGGGAAACGGGGATTTTACAGTTTTTATATCGCGCAATTACAAATTTAAATATTACGACGAAAAAAAGATACTTCAAAAATTACCCAACAACGAGACTAATAGGGGCGTCGAATTTACGCCGCCTACCAAAATGGTCGAAATGAAATTACCCGAATTTATAAAAAGACTAAAAGAATGGAAGAGGGGCGACGAAAGGTACGATTATAGCGATTGTTTGCGTTTACTGTTGCTTAGATATAACTCTTTTTGTAGGTTGTATCTGCAGCAAGGTTTGAATGATACAGTGGGACCAGCGATAGTGCGCGACTTCTTAAAATTCGACTGGGACTTTTGTAACAGCATACAAAAGAAACAAAACTGGGGCCCTCTCACATCGAATCACTTACTGATCGGGATGGAAGGCAACGTGACACCATGTCATTATGACGAACAACAAAATCTTTTTGCGCAAGTGCAGGGCTATAAAAGATGCATTTTATTTTCACCTGATCAATTTGATCGTTTGTACCCCCATCCCGTTTATCATCCGCATGATCGCCAAAGTATGGTAAATTTCTTATAAAAAGAAACAGTATTTGTAATGGTATTTTTATGAATGTTTTTTTAGGTTGATTTTGAGAGGCCAGATTATAGTAAATTTCCAAAATTCAAAGACATAAAGGGCTGTGAAACAGTTATGGAACCAGGCGACGTTCTCTATATACCAATTTATTGGTGGCATCAGGTGGAATCGTTAATGAGAGGAGACCACACGATAACTATCAATTTTTGGTACAAAGTATGTAGAAAATAATTTTTTATTTGCGTTTTCCGCTTATAAATAACAAATTAATTGGGAATTAAAATGTACGCAGAATGGACCAACTGGGCCAATAACGTACCCGTTGAAGTCTCATCATAAAGTGGCGGTGATGCGAAACGTTGAGAAAATGCTTTTGGAAGTTCTACACGATCCCAAGGAGATCCCACCGTTAATGAGGGCCCTCGTTCTAGGCAGATATACCGAATAAAAAATTAAAGAACGAAGTAGGCGGCTACATTTACTTAATTAAGCGCACTGTCTCGTTTTCAAATTGAATTTAGGGAAAGAATATTATGTGATACAAAATAAATATGTAATTTTATCAAATAATAACTTGAGCATAATAATTAGTTTTAAGATTGATCGGGTTCCTTTGTTATTAAAAGCGCAGTATTCAAATACGTATATGATTAATTGTAAACAAATATTTTTCATTATATTTTTTTATTTAAGGTCGATTGCTTGTATGTATATATGTAGTATGTATGTACCAATAGATATGTAAATAAAAGCTAATCTTTTTTCTATTCCGTTTTTCTATATATTACACATACTGCTAAAATAAGTGAATTTTATTGAGGTAAAAGGTCGTCTCCCAATTCCTCATCCCCAAATTCGTCGTAATCTAAGTGCTTTTTACTATAACTTGTGGTTGGTCTTTCTGGTGCGTGAAAGTTATCTAAAAAATTCAACGCAACCGCTTTTTGCAACAACATTGCCGATTTAATACCAAAAGAATCTCACTTACCTCCCGAAGAACCTCCTCGACCTACACCCGAGTCCGAACTGCCTCCACTGTTGTGTAGGTCAATTAGTTTAGACCTTCGTGTTCTGGTGTTTCTGCTCCCTGAAGAAGAACTATCATTTCCGGTGGCATTTTCCAAAATCGAATTGAATCCTGATCCTCCCCTCGATGATAAACCGCTTCCACTGCGTCTTGAAACTAAACAAGAAAAAATTAAAATAATGAAAACAGGAAAAGACCAGCAACCACAAACCTGGACGACTGCTTCCTATCCTTTCTCTAACTTCCTTGCTCTTTTCCAATTTTTTCAGTTCCAAAATATAATTTTGGGATTCGGGCATGCCCAAATCTTTACATATGCGTGCCAGAAACTTTAAACACTCAATATTCTCAGGAAACTTCTGATGGACTTCTTGGTAGAGATTGAGAGCGGCGTGTAAGTTGCCGTTTCGTCTGTGACACCCGGCCACCATCATGTACCACTTGGGCTCGTTAGGTTGCATCAAAACCGCCTTTTCGAAGTACGTTAACGCCTTCTCTATTACTTGCATCTCAATGTAATAAGTTCCTAGCCAGTTAATCACCTCCAAATTTGATGGATAATAACGATAAGACTGGAAAAAACGCAATTATATAGTACATAACAACAAGCATTTTGTTTGTTACTAAAAATGCTTACATCTACATGATAATGATGAGCCTGTTGTTTGTCCCCCTCGCTGTCGTAAAGATCGCCGATTTTTTGAAGTATTGTTGCGTCAGACGGTACTAAGCCCAAGAGTTGTTGGTAAGCTTCAGCGGCAGCCTCGTTGTCTCCCATTCGTTCGAACAGCCACGCTGTTTGATATGCTATGGATGGGTTAAGAGCCAAAGAGCCGGTAAACTTTTGAAAACATTTCAAGGCTTCATCGTAAGCGCCTTGCTGTTTTAGAACGAGGCCTAAATTGTAAAGGGCCTCAAAACTAGACGGATCACATTCGAGAGCGCTTATGAAATAGTTTTTGGCTTGATCCAGTTGATTTTTGGCCATTGCACAGGCCCCTAAATTGATAAAACCTCCAGCGTTAAAACCGTCAAGCTTCTTCACAATTTCTCCATACTTCTCTGCGTTCTTAAGATCACCTTGCTACAAAAAAACATGTTTCCTTTTTTCTTGTTTTTGATGTATTTTAGTTTAATTACCATATAATAAATAAAACTCAGATTAGTAGCAGCCCCACTGGATGTAGAATCGTTGTCCAAGGTTTTCAAAGTTTCAATGGCCTCAGAAACTTGTTTCTGTTTCAAATACATTACTGCTTTGTTTATTTCCAAGTCTCCAGCAAGTTTGGCATATTCTGAATTCTTAATTGTTGTCACACACCAATCATACCCTTTAGAAACAGTCTACCATTACTAAATTTATATTAATTGATAACTCTTTAAGTGTACCTTCGCTGAAAGTGGAACCAATCAGGGGAGCGATTAGTTTTGCAGACGTTAAGATGCAATATTCCGCGTCATTGCGCTTTTGTATCTCATACAAATGAAGGTCGTCGTTCCTTATGGCCGTTGATATAAGAACATCCTCAGGATTAGCCTTAAAAAATATTTTTGTTTAAATAAATAACAAATTCATTAATTGGTTTACTTGATTTGGAGCGTATTTGTCGTCATCTTCAAGTTCCAAAGGCACCGACAGTAATGATGAAAAAGCCACTTTCATTTTTTCCCTGTCTTCAATGGCAAGGCAGCACAGTACAAGATGTAGGCCGGCTCGATGACTAGCTTCTTCATTCATTATATATTCTAGACTAGACATTGCCTCTTCCCATTGTCTCATTTTCACATAAACCATCGCTATATTGTGCATTATCTTGATTCTGAATGGAAAGGTTGCATTAAAAATTAATAAAAAAAAATCTTTTATTTCACCTTAGACCCTTCTGATTTGACGGCACTTGGTCAAGGGCCATTCTGTACATTTTCATAGCCTTATTATACTGCTTCTGCTTGAAATAAATGTTTCCCATGTTAACTTTCAATCTGTGGGCGTTTGAGAACATCCGATTCTTAGTAATCAACTGATAAGTATTTAGGGCTTCTGTGTACATTTCATTTGCTGCATACTGATTTGCTAATGTAAATAAAACCTACAAATCAATAAAAAATAGCACGCGCTAATCAAACATAAACCACATAAACTCCTTACTGAATATGTTAGATCAAGATTGTGACTATCTCCCAGTCCTGATTGTTCCTGCATTCTAATGAGACTACGCTCCTTATTTGAAGCCTCTTTCGCTTTCTCTAGGGCTTTACGATGGTTACCACCACTACTCGCAAGACACGATTCCTCAACCAGTTCCATAATTTTTGATTCTTGGGTTTTAATTTTCTCTTCAGGACTAAAAAACAAATTAAATATTAAAATATCAAAAAAAACATACAGTTATGAACTTACGAGTCGTCTTTTTGTAGCTCAAAGGCATTTGGTGAAATCGTAGCTTGATTCAAAGGATCAAAAATTTGTTTATTTTGTGATGTGTAGCCAGCACCACGTACTGCAGTCATGGGTCTGTTTATTGTATCATTTGTCGTAGGACGAAAAGCGCTAGCTTGTCTGTAGTTACTTAGTGGCGTCGCAATAGCTGTTGGCTGCCTTTGAAACTGAATTAAAAGACAAAAAATGTAAATTATCAGATAAGGTTCCTTTGTACCCGAATACCTTAGAAAACTAACTATTGTAATAGATAGATGGAATAGGCTTACATGTAAATACTCCTCCTGTAATTATTAAGTATATATGACTTACACCGGAAGCTGTTCCCAGTTTCATTCGAGAACTAGGCCTCGGAGTGACTAAAGAAAATCGAGAGCGAGTCTTATCTGCTGACAATAAGACTTTTCTAAAAGGATCATCTTCTTTTACATTGTCCAAGTTGTAAATTGGATGTGAAGACTGACTGAACAATTTCCTCATTTCATTAACGTCTTCATCTTCCATGTCGGCCATTCTTTTAGATCTATTTTAAAAATTAAATTAAATTACAAAATACAACAAAGATTTTCAATTTGAAATGTTCAATGTACACAAACAAATTACGCATGCGTCGTACATGAAGTTTTACAAGGTCAAATTTTGAGAAATTTAACCTAAAAATTTGCAAACATAACCTCTAGCGTTTTTACAACATTGCTTTTAGTCTTTGTTAAAAATGTTAATGTAATTCCAATTAGCAACTTAAAAATAATTCCTTATGACTGATTCTGACGGAGAAGATGTCCCACAATTATCGGCGGAGACGCTGAAAGCACTTCAGGAATTTTACGATGAGCAATTAGATAAAGAAGCACAAGAAAATAGTGAATCCACAAACGCAATAGTTAGTGAAGATTGGGTATTTTTCTTGTGATAACTTATCCTTCCTCTTGTTATTTACATGCTAAATCTTCTAGCAATTAAGTCAGTTTTGGTATGACGATTCAACTGTGATAAGTTTGACCAATGCGGCATGTAAAATTCTTAGCCCAGGTGACAAAATTGCACTTGTCTCATGTCCCACATTATACAGAAGTTTGAAACAAAATCACAAAGGCACAGGTTGGCACAACATTTCAATATTAAAGTCATTCATTAATTTGTCAAAAGAATAATCTTTTATTTTCAGTTACACTTTTTGAGTTTGATAAAAGGTTTTCTGTTATTGGAGAAGACTATAATTTCTATGATTATAAGGAACCTCTTAGTATTACAAAAGAATTTAAAAATTATTATGATTTAGTTATTGCAGATCCTCCGTTTTTATCAGATGAATGTTTAACAAAAACTGCTGTGACTTTAAAATATTTAGCAAAAGAAAACATTATTTTATGTACAGGTATCTATCAAATGTTCTGCATATATTTTGATCTATATTAACTAATTGTTTTTAAATTTTTGTAGGTGCAATAATGGCCGATTTAGTAGAAAGACTGCTTCATTTAAAAAAGTGTTCTTTTGAACCAAGGCATAAGAATAACTTGGCAAACGAATTCTTCTGTTATTCAAACTTTGATTTAGATAATTTTATATAAGTTAATAAGTGAATAAAATATGTGAAATGAGAATCCAATGTTGTATTGTTACTTTCTTAGGAACAAGGAACTAACAAGGATTTTAAGTTAAAAATATCAGTTGTTTATTTTCCTTTACACATTAGCAGTGCTCTATTACATCTTATATTTTTTAATGAATGTAGCATGTGGATGATATGTTAACATGAAATATATATATACAACAGTGACATGCAATTCAAACTTCATAAGTGATAAATTCTAAATTTTAGTTAAAAGTAACGTATGCACTAAATTTGCAAGTCTATATCAAATCAAAGAACATTTCGCTTAATTTTATACGACTATATTTACTTTTCTTAAGTAAACTTATTGCAATAAGAAATGGAACTGATAATAAAAAATAGTTTTGCTTTTGGTTTAATTGGATTTCTTTTTATGACCCATTTTTAATAATTAATTTAATTAATAGCAGTTTAGCACCATATTTATTAACAAGGTACATTTGGATTTTGTTATGATTGCTATCCGTTTAAGCAAGTAATTTTTTTTAGTTATTAAAAGCACTACCAGGCGCGAATTAAAAATAAAATTCAAAAGATATTTGATTACCATCAGGATATTTAAAATTTGTTTGCATAGATAGATTATTGAAAATGTGAGATGAAAAAATTATAGAACATGAAGACATGTAAATAACAAAGGATCTCGTTAATCAACTAAAAACATAAATTTATCTGTGACTGATATTTGTTTAAAATTTCTACTATGTCCTACAGTCATTTTGTACACAAAATATAAAGGAATTTATTACATACTTTTTTGTTATTGGTTCATTTTCTAAATGAATCGATCAGCTACCTAGACTCTGTCCAGTTTCCTTAAGTGCCTGTTCAGTCAATCTTTCTATTTCATTTAATAGGGCCTGAGTATCCGCGTCGATTTCGGGAAGTGGAGTCGCTTGGAGTGAATTCTGAACGCTATCCCATTCTAAAGAATCAGCAGAAGGGACTCGTGACCAGTCTGTGTTATTGTCATCAAACGCAGTTGACTGAGAATTATTTCGTTCAGAAGGAACCACAGCCCTATATACATAATTAATTATATAAACAAAAAATCTGGGTAAATCTTTACATTAGTTGACATTGGAATTGAGACATGAAGTTTAGTCAGGTAGGTAGTACTGACCAAAGTGAAGTAGTGTAGTAGTATTTACTAGAATTTTGTTTATTATTTGTTTAAAAATGAATGTGAGTGAGATACAGGCCCTTAAAGTTTTCTTAATCGGAGGAAAATTCGGTAGGTACGGCCCTGGCTTCAGCCTTCCGTCAGCTGTTCCCGCCAAACATCGTAAATATCTTCCTAACATTATTCTAATGTATCAGCGGGGGCATTAAACAAACTCGAGTCTGTCATACATCTACCTAACTAAACAATGACGTCATCAATGCATATTTGGCGAGAACAGCTGACGAAGGGCTGCAGCCAGGGCCGTACCAATCGAAATTTCCTCCGATTAAATAACTTTAGGGAGCCTGTATCTCAAGCTACATTGGTTTCCGCACGGAATTAATGCTACCACACGATTCTACTTGGTCAGTACTATCTACCTGACTAAACTTCATGTCTCAATTCCAATGTCAACTAATGTAAAAAATTACCAAAAGCTGTTTTATTTATATAAAGAAAAAATATTTATACCATGAACTGTTACAGGGCTCTTGTACAACTTCTAAGGGCAAGGCTTCATGCTCCCATTCTAGATCTAGAGAACTAGCAGGTGTAGAGTTTGCAGTATTTGTTAAAAGAGCACGGGCATCTAAACATTGTAAAGGTATGTTCTGTCTATCTGATGAGCTACAAATCAAATGTCTTTTAATGTTTAACCGAAAATGTGTACAATTTTATGATTACATACTGTGGTATCTTGTTGAGCTTGGAATAATTAGTACTTTTAGAAGAGGGGAAAATGTCTTCAACCAAATTTAAAACTGCTTCCTAAGAAACAAGAAAACTAAAGGGGTTATTTAAAACAAATTAAAATTATACCTTTGGTCTGTGTTTCTTTTTAGTCTTGAGGAAATGCCGAATTAAAAAACATCTTCATGCAAGCATGAAAAACAAGTTTCACTTAAAGATATACATACTCACAAAATATTCTAGTGCAATGTAATATAATGTAACTCTTGCTATTCTTCAAACATACCTTTTGTTAGTAGTATCTTCATTAGGATTCTGGAAAGCAATTGTATCAGTGTTGCATTAAAGCCTGCTTTATATCTTACATTTATAAGGTCAGCAAAGTCTGTTTTATCATCACTAGAAAATAATCTGCGAGATGTTGGTAAGCAACTGCCCATGCAATTACCCATATCTGCCGCAGTCCATGAAGGACTGCACTGACTTCAGGCTCCATTGAGCCATGTAAAATAACATGAATCCGTGATTAAGGCTTGTACAAAGCACAGCTAAGTGTAATGGTGGTACGACATTAACTTCTCGGCAAACTGAAGGCAGAAAAGGATAAATTACAGCCAGATAATACCACAAAGAATTGTTATTTGATTATAATATTGTGCCTACATGGATAATTCTAAAATCAATTTTATTGTAGTCAACAAATGAATCATCTAAAAAATACTCTTCAAACATGCGCCAAATGTCATTAACTTCAGAAACAACAGATTTAAATTTACCATAGAACACTGATTTTCTATATACCATAGAAAGCGAATAAGAAAAGATAGTGTTTACCATTACACATGCCGTATGAAATTGTAATGTATTAAATGTTTATGGTTTCTTATTTTAAACTTACAATTAAATCTTAATTAATAATTAACTGTTTACATTCCAAATTTGTTTCGTAGATTTGCAGTCCAATTGTTCACTAAATTGTATCAATAATTACCTATTAAAATTGGCTTAATATACACAGAGTTTTCATGTGCTCAAAGAAAAACCAGGTAGGTTACATAACCTAAATTATTTTACCTTCAAATTTTAATTAAAACTTGTTTTATTCTAAGTCAAAAACAACTTTCACCTTATCAGTTGGCTTGATAAGGGGAAGTTTAACAGTATGGTGAACCCGAACGATATTTTTACGAAATAATTTACATTACTTTCTACAAATTATGGATGTAAAATAAGGAATCAGTTGTGAAGTTCTCAGTGCTAACTCAAATTACAAATGCAAAGTGAAATCTTGCTATCGTTTTTATTATTAAGTTTTGCAAATTGTATATCAAAATATCCTGTTTTAATAATTATTTCTTTCGATGGTTTTCGTTACGATTTTGTTGGTAAAAAGACACCAAACATACTTGCTCTAAGAAGAGAAGGAACTTACGCACCATATATTAATAATGTCTTTCCTACAAAAACTTTTCCCAACCACCATTCTATTGCAACAGGATTATACACAGAAGTTCATGGAGTAATGGCAAACAATTTTTATGATCCAGAGCAACAGCAAATTATCAAGTACGGTTATGAAATGTTTCATTATAATGAAGAAATTGTTCCAATATGGGTAAATTATAGCAGTATCTAATTATTACCAGTGTGCTAAATTGTATGTATGTTAAAGACACATAATGAAAGGGCAGCTAGTGATAGGTATTCTGGGATAATGATGTGGCCAGGGGGATCATTTCCATACCAAAACACATACCCACAATATTTTAAGGAATTTGACCCTCATTTTGATTGGAATCAAAGAGTTGATGAGGTATGATTGTAAATGACTTACAAAATGTTTAACTATTTGTAAAGTACACAAATTTTGAAGGTAATATCATGGATAGTACATCCCAAAAGGCCAGCAAATTTGATTATGCTTTATATTGAGGAGCCAGATTCACATGCTCATGCTTTTGGTCCTGATTCACCAGTAATTATTGAGTTGATAAAAAGACTTGATAATTTAACTTGTTACTTAATTGTAAGTAAGTGAATGTAATATAAAAAAACCTTGTATATAATAGTTCTGAATTTTAGAAAAAATTAGAGGAAAACAACTTAACAGAAAAAGTAAATTTAATATTTCTAAGTGACCATGGCATGGACAGCGTAAGCCCCCCGCATTTTATAGACATAACGCAATATTTAGAGCCCCATACTTATGATATTGCTGGAAGCTCACCTGTTTTACATATTCTTCCCCATGAGGGTAATAATTTTTAATAGTAATAAAATACTGATAATTTAATATTGTTTTGAACTTTAAAGGATACGAAGAAGCAATTTATGAAAACTTGACTGAATTTTCTAAGAAACAAGGACACTTTTCGGTGTTTAAAAAGGACGATCTTTTGACTAGATGGCACTTTAAAAATAATCCACGTACCCCTCCTATATTTCTTTTAGCTGATGATGGTTATGGATTTCAAGACTTGGCAATTTCAGCTGAATATCTTTCGAAAAAATTCAATTTTAAAGGTAGACACAGTAAAAATTGCTTACTTCATAAAGCAATGAAAAGTATTTCTGTTTTTAAGTGAGCAACAAATCGAAATTTGGCGTTCACGGTTACGACAATTTAGATTTGAAAATGAAGCCATACTTTGTGGCACGCGGGCCGAAAATAAAAAAGAACAAGATGGTTATTCCTTTCTGGACTGTCGACTTGTTTGCGTTGTTTTGCGAAATTTTAGAAGTGCCCCAACTCCCCTCCAACGGTTCCTTACTACGGGTTCACGATGTTTTAGTGTCGAGGCCCTACTTTGTACAAGTGTTTCCGAAGTTTGTACTGGTTGGTAAGTATCAGGGTTTGTTGTTTACAATTTTTCTACGTACTTATACACGGAGCCACCGATAGGAATTTGTAATTAAATTTTTTTTTATTATATTATAAACTATTGTTATGTCTACATTCCTTTGCAGCAGGTGGAATCGTAATGACTCTAATCTTATCGGTAGTATTTATTGCTGCAGTTGCCTATTATTTTATTAGAAGGCAGCAGAATATGACGACAGCGGCAGCTTTAAATAAAAGGTTTCCGCAATGTTACAACAATTCTATTATAGAGGCGCAAAGATTACTCGATGAAGAGGCTAGTCTTATATAATTAATGTTGTTGTTGTTAAAACTAATTGTTAGGTGTTAATGTTATTAAAACTTGCATATTCAATTTTAAGATTCAATCAGAGCACATCTAAAATTTATTTTGTTTGAACTGAAAGCGCTCTGTATTAACTTTTACAGCTATTATGGTCTATGGAGTGCTTGATCTAATGGTTTTTTATAGGTATGGATTTTTTACTTGAAAGTGAGATTAAAAAAGAAACGCAATGTCTTCATTGTACACTTGATATTATTGTTGTCAGTATTTTTAAAATATGTGAATGTGATATAATCTTTTCTCAATAAAACGTTTTAATTAGCTATTTGTGTTCTTTTTCTTCTTTATAAACTTCACAAGATGTTCAAAAATTACATAATTTATTTGAAAAGTTACATAAATTTAATTCAATTTTTACAATAGAATAGATATTTAAAATGTAGATAATTA